CTCTCCCTCAAAAAAAAAAAAAAAAAAAAAAAAAAATGATAGATAGATAGATAGATAGATAGATAGATAGATAGATAGATAGATAGATAAAAAGTTAAGAAGATGGCTCAACATTTACTATCAACTCTTACAATGGAAGATCTGACTTGTTCAATCCCTGGGACCCACAAATAAAGAGAAACCATATCCTCTAACTAAATGAATGTATATCAAAAATAATGCCAAAGGGGCCAGTCAGATGTCACAGAAGAAAAGGCGCCTACAATCAAGCCTACGTTGTCTTCTGAGCCCCACACAAGTGCCACGACACATACACATCATGCACAGAACACACACACCGTAATAAAATTTATAAATCTTACCTCATTGTCCTTATGCTTTTTAGCCACTGACAAAATTTCCTAAAAAGTTGGAAAAAATAAAAATAATGTGTAAGATTATCACTTCCATGACCCCAGCAACATGGTCCAGGCAAACTAATACTACTCTCATCCTTAATCAAAGAAGCATCTCTTTATAGTGAACAGTAGTGAATGCAGAGATGCACGGCTGATGAAGACACTCAGGACCTGTTTAGTCCCTAACATTTTGGGGGGAAAGGGCAGGGAGAAAGAGATCCGAGAAAAGAACATGGGATGAAATACTTTAAAGAAGCATGAGCTGGCAGTGGTAATGCCTTTAATCTCAGAATTGTAGAGGCAGAGACAAGTAGATCTCTGCAAGTTCAAGGCCAACTTCATCTACATAGCAAATTCTAAGCTAGTTAAGGCTAAACAGTGAGACCCTGTCTCAAAATAAAAAATGATTAACATTAAATTTAAGATTCTTGCCAGGCAGTGGTGGCACACGCCTTTAATCCCAGCACTCGGGAGGCATAGGCAAACAAATCTCTGAGTTCGAGGCCAGCCTGATCTACAAGAGCTAGTTCATCCAAAATAGTCCCCTCACTGCCTCCACACATTACTGCTATAAACCAGAATGCTTTGCTCTATTTTCTCCATCAAAAAAATTCTGATATTAATTTATAAAAATCCACTTAAGCTAATAAATATATGATAAAGGCTGATATAACTGTATAATACTGTAGCCCCAGCACTCAGGAGGCTGGGACAGCAGAATCCAAGTTAGAGGTCAGCCTGAGCCATATACTAAGACTCTGTCTCAAAAAAATTAAAATTAGGACTAGATAGATGGCTCAGTGGTTAAGAGCATGGAAGTTCAATTCCTATCATCCACATGGTAACTCACAATCTTTCTGTAATTCTGGTTCCTGGGGATCTAATGTTCTGTTCTGACTCTTAGGACACTACACATACATACACAGGCAAAACAGCCATAAAAATATTTTTTTTTAAATTGAGTAGCTTTGTTTTCTTAAAACAGGATCTCACCACATAGCCCTGTCTGGCCTAGGAACTATGCAGACCAAGCTGGACTGCCTGGCTGTCACTGCCTCCCAGTTGCTAGAATTAAAGGCAATTGTCACCAAATCCAGTTAAGTAAATACATTTTTAAAGAAAAACCTACATTAGGTTTTAGTCAACATCCAATATTAAGTAACCTCCTTCGAGTATTACCTCTTTTGACATGACCTCTGCAATGTTGTACGATTCTTCTTCTCTTCCTCTTTTTTTTCTCATGACTATAAAACAAAACCATGTAATTTTTTTTTATAGCAAGTAAAAACAGAAGGGCAAACATACATTCTTCAAGCAGAAACAAAGTTAATTTACCTGGATTCTCTTCGCTTGCATCAACTAAATTTTTACCCTATAAAATAAAGATTTAGAATGTTAGTATTTGTTATTAATTTTGTGTTTCGCCTACATGTGTCTGTGCACCATGTGCATGCCTGATGCTGTGGAAGCCCATAAAGGTGTATTCGTTCCACCTTGACTAAAGGTCAGAGAGTTCAGACTTATTCTTGCTTCTTCAAGGTTATATGACTAGATGCTTGAGATAAAGTGTGACTACAGAATATTTTGCCTAGACAAAAGAATATTTTGATCTAGGGTGTGGTTACTTAATGTTTTGAGACGCGGAGAAACGACATTTGTTTGTTCTTTGTATTATGGTAGAGACATCTTTTGCCCACCCTCTTTAGATTTGAGTATATAAGAACTTTGAGGGGGCTGGAGAGATGGCTCAGTGGTTAAGAGTATTGCCTGCTCTTCCAAAGGTCCTGAGTTCAATTCCCGGCAACCACATGGTGGCTCACAACCATCT